CAGTGCTTTCGATGAAGGTAGATTTGTTTTGTTTCATAGTGCAGGGGTTGTATGTGTTATTTCTCTTTTTGATCCCCACGACACTCTCATCGTAAAGACTCTTTAATAGACTTTTTCTCATATGGTTATAAGTGGACAGTTTCTAAACATTTATAAGTGGGCAGTTTCTAAAGTGAGAGTAAAGGACATATATGCCCTTTTTTATGCCTACTGTATGCTTAGACAAAAGGTGTAGAAAATATCCAATGAAAATTCTAGAAAGAAGGGACATTCGCTCTTTTAAAGGAAATATAGATTTGTTGATGTTTCTAGTGTTCTAGGAAAAAAACAACTATTTTTTGCTCCTTGTCCATGAAGCATTGTCAAATATTTGATTGGATTAATTGAGACTTGAGACTTTGTTACTAGATATAAGAAAGAGACTCCAACATAATGGTTTTTGTACCTGCAACCCTATTGTGAAACCTAGTAGAGAGCAGAAATTAGAAAACTTTGAATGCAATGTACTTGAGTAGAAAAAACAAGATGTCCTTAGCTTTAACGTTTTTTTTTGGTGGAAGGCCCTTAAACCAATTTCATTCAATAAAAAGATTAGTCTAGATGATTTAGGGATATTATAGGGTCCATAGTAGAGAATAAGCAATACAATTTAGCACAATTGAACAAACTTGAACTACAACTTTTATGTATCTACAAACATGTAAAACCTCTAAGAAAATGCTATGAAAGCTGGTCAGCTGTCCAGCTCTATTTTTTGGTAAGGCACTATTTTGACTAAGTGAAAGTTACAAGAATTGATTTAAATAGGGCTGTAATGAAATCGGATTCGGTCCTCACAGCCGCTTGTAGCTGTACATTGGAAATATCATCTCCCCATGAATAAAACAATAAGAGTATGGAGATGTTGACAATGCATGACTGCAAAAAGTCCGTGAGGACCAAATTCAAATTTGGCTGTAACTTGGGTGGTCTAACCTAATCCAATCTGAGATTTTGCATGGGTTGGGCCTAAATTTCCGAGCTGTGGAATGGGTATGAGCCAGAAGACTGAGGATTGACCTAAACTTGGATTGGATTGGGCTTGAGTTGAGGTCTCAGGTAGTCCAAATCCATTAAACAAATACATTATTTTTCAGCTTCAGCACTAAACAAATACATTTACATATGCATTTTATTTATATAAAAAATATAAATGAAACTTCTACAAATTTCCATTCAATAATACTCCTTAATTGTACATATTTATGTACATATGTTCATAAATTCTTTCAAACCCAACCTTCCCACCTAACCTTGGCTTAAGTTGTGTTGGGTTAAACTTTGGTAAGCCTGAGTTGATAAATTCAAGTTGGACCTTGGATTGTGCCAGGCCTGATCCTAAGGTTAATACCTTTAGGCTGCGTTTGGATATAATGCAAATATGTAGAGTGTAAAACAGTTCATATAAATTGTAAAGTTGGGTTAGTTTTGCTTTGACAAATTTACCTTCTTACCAAATAGACTTTTAGCTGTAATGGATGCAAACATGAATTCCAATAAAGCATATGTTTTTCTTTATCAAAATCCCACTTGAATGCAAATTTACTTCTTTTTTATTAATGTACTTTTACATCTTATTATCAATGTAAATATGCATTGATCTGTCACAAGGTTCAAAGTATCGGAAACACAAGGTGTATCGAAAAGATAATTTTAAGAAATGTATCGGGATACATTTTAGATACGCATGGATACGGACGAAAAATCAAGATACATATAAATATGATAGGAAATTTAAATAAATCATAAAAAATATATTAGTAATAATACTTACAAGTTTACATGATTGTAAATAAGTCATTTAAATGTAAACAACATATTTTAATGTTTATATAAAATGTGACATATCAAGATATAATTAGTAACCGTTGAAAAATGATGGAATAACTAAAATGTGAAAAAAGCAAAAAAAAAAAAACTAAAATGTGAATATATATATATATATATACATCAATTTTCAAATAACCAATATAGTTTATCTTAATATTTATTAGGGCGGCAAGAGCTTCAAAATTTTGAATTCCACTACGAGCTACAATAATTCAAAATGTCAAGCACCCTCACCCTAAACACCAATACCTGCTCATGTATTGACATCAATTTCAAATTTCAAACTAGCACCTACCCCAACTGTATAGTGGAACTAAGAATTTTGACAATGGGCTGAATGGTCATTCTCCCTAATAATATATGTTTAAATGATGATGATGATAATGGTGACACCACTTGGGCTGTTCTAATTGAGTAGTTAATCCGTTGCCACTATCAGTCATCCGTCTTTAAATCACCCACCACAATGTCAACGACAGTTTCAAATCACTGTAAACGACAGTTTCAAATCACTGATTCCCAGCAGCAGCATGTGATGCAACATGCAAGGGCCCGTTTTATTAAATAAACGAAGACCTTGTCAATCAAACGCTGCCTCTTGTTCTCTCTTTCTTTCTTTTTGCCTTATGCTGTTGTCGATCAATTCTCGTTGCTTTGCCAAGATATTGGCTTCTGGGGGAGATGGATTGAAACTGGGCTTACATCCAAATTCAACCGTATTGCTCATAGAGTTGACAATTTGACACCATGCATGCCGCCCCACACTTGCTGCATTGCCAAAGGAAGAGTCACACAATTATTGTTTTAATTATTTTATTTATTGTGTAACCTGCTTAATTTCAACAACAATGCAGTTTCTTTCTTCTTCTTAAAAATATATATAATATATTAACAAAGAGCCATCCAATTCAGTGCTCTTTTCGTCGTCCTATTCTCAAGAAGCAACGCCTGTGCAACGATCTATGTGAAAGGCATGAGATTGCAGATTAACTGAATGTGATGATGTATGTATGTATGCATCAGGGGCTGTGTGACTAATAATAAGTAACGCCCCCACAATAGCCATACATGCCAGATGAGAGCTTGAATATGATTGATTAATGGTTATATAAACAAATGATAGGGTGCAACTTGCAAGCAGCAGATCTAAGTGGTTAGAGTAGAGATGCCCTACCACAAAGAGGCGAAAATAAAAAGCATGCTCAGTCAGACATCTCCCCAATCCAAATCCAATGAATTCGCTTGCATTATCGTGGAATTAGTGATTTATTTATCCCTCCAAGGCAGGCGGATGCAGATGAGCAGATGACAATGTTTGTCAAAGAAATCACCATCGGCCAGCCTTGTTAAAAGTCACCATCTGTCAATCACGGCCTATTTTGCATGGTCTTTATTTTCAAGCTAAGCTTGTAGGTATATATGTTCCTACTACTACTAYTACTATTATGGGGATCAACCAATGGGTTTTACTATTCGGTAACCACTAATTCCCGAGTCTTTGACTTTAAACTCACTAACTAAATTATCATCAGAAAGACTTCAACATTGAGCCCGAATCATTATTATTCATCTAAGCTTAAAGCCTTGTCCCATCCATACTACATGAATCCCATTCAACCCCCTATCCGTTTTTGTCAGCCCCCAGAATTTATCGTAAATCACTTCTTCTATGTCTAATAGTTTTCTATTTGCTAGATCCATCTCTAGATCTCCAATACATTACACCACCCATCCTAAATCCACATCCTCTACTCACAAAAGAATGCCCAAAAGTGGACACATCACAAATTTATGCCACGTGTATTCCACACATGAAAAACATACAATGCTTTTTGAAAATTCAACCATGTTGAGAGAGAGTGGCACAAAACATTCACGTTCTTAGTCTACATTGGTGTATTTACTCGTGATTAGACCTGTTCATGGACCAAATAATCCAATGGGCTGGATTCTATTTGGATCAAGTTTCGACATTACCTACCTAGTTAGCATCCCAAGTACGAAACCAAGCACCCACTATGCCGCTATGGATCAAAGGGTATTGGGACGATAAGCCCTTTCAACCAAGGATATGGATATGTGATAAGGATAAGGTGTATTCAACTTCAATCACATCTCATTTTTATCTCCTCTATTTTTCTAATTCAAAACAATGTGGACGAAAGGAGATGAAAGGCCACTCAACCGCCCATTGCCTAGAAATGAAATGCAAGGCAAATCATTACATATTTACATCAAAAGCAAATTGCAGCTCCTCTGTTTACATTTTCTCTCTGTTTTTTACTTTTGTTGAATTTTGTTGCAAAGAGCACTTACGTGAAAGCTCCATACAGTGAAAAGGGTAGACGTAGATCTAATAAAAAGAAACGAAGTCATTGATGATGTTTGGTTTGGTGACTTGGAAGATTGAAACAAAGTGCTACTTCATTTTATATTTTTTTGGGTAAATTACAGACTGCCACCCAGTATTTTGGGTAGTGACACTTTATCTCCTGAAACTTTCATTTGTAACAAGGATGCATCCTGAATTTTCAGATTTCAACATTTTGCCCCTTCCTTGCTAACAACCTTGACAGTCAAGACAAAATTACTAAAATGTTCATTCAAGAGYTTGATGAGCTGAGAGAATAAACATTTTAAAAGCACAGTATCTCTTGTTGTATTTTTAGTTTTTTTGCAGTAATTAATGTTTTCTATTTTTTTTCTTTTTATTTATTGTATTTGTACAATTTTCTGTTTTATTTTCCTCTCTTCCCTTTTTTGGTATTATCTACAATGTCCTACTTTTTTCTTTATTTTCCAATTTTTGTTTTAATTTATCAATTTTCTGCAAAATGGTTTCATAAAAGGAGATAAGGGCAAATGGCAATTTGTGGTTTTAGAAATGTTTAAACACACATCGACAGTCACATGAGAATCTTTTAGAAAATTAAACAACAGAATGTTAAAAAAGAGGGGGGCAAAGTGCTGGAGTCTGAAAGATTTGTCACAAATGAACGTTCGGGAGGTTAAGTGTCACTACATTGTACAAGGTGGCAGTGTGCAATGTATTCTTCTTCCTCTTCTTCTTCATGTAGGGTCTTCTTGTAATATTAACGCATAAAGAACGCCCTACAGCAGAAACATGCACATAATGCCAACCAAAAAGAAGCTCAACAATAATTTCTTTTATCCTTTTTTTACTTTTACATCGTTTCTATCAACCAGTTCTTGCAGTAAGGCCCCTTTACACACAGTCTGCATTGTGTGTACCTTAAGGATCATACCAAATGAAAGAAAAAAAAAGATGGATTAAAGACGAGACATTATAAATGAAAAACAATATTAAGTTAAACATGGCACAATTTAGTGTATATCTTTGTGTGTGCTGCAACTGTTGCAGCAAATGCTCTCGATACCCATCCTGAATCCCCATGGAATATCCGTGAATTTCCACCAATCATGCAAGCTTGCTTTTTCACTGGTCCAACCATGAGAAAGAACAAAGATCATACTCAAAAGTCAGTAAAGTTACCATAAAGCAACAACATTGATATAGAAACTAATATCCCTGTATATTTCCATATACAGGGAAATCATTAAGCCGTTTCACCTATATTTAGCAGACAATCTACACTCTAGTGCATACAAAATCCAGTTGGAGGAGCCTACTTTGGAGACTTACTAATTTGACATCTCAACCTAAATGTATTGTTCACAAGAGTTCTTTTTTTTTTTTTTCACCCAAAGCAAAATCAACATCTTTTTGAAAGCTAAAGCAAAATCAACAGAGACAATAATTATGTTCTTTGTTTATTTGCTTGCACATTCAAGATAAATAGAATGGCCGGTCCAATAACACAAATCCTGTTGCCATAAAGTTTCTGTTTTCATGTTGGTTAAAGGAGAGATGAAGTGGATTTAGAGTAATCCTTGGAAATCAGCCCATCACGGATCTACACTTTGTAACTATYATGGAGCCAGTGGTTTCCGTGGTTCAAATTACCATAGTTCATCTTGAAAGGAACCCTATTAAAGGACATTAGTGTTGAGATCTTACCTGGTTGATGTAGCGCTGATTGCATTCAAGGTTCTAAATATCGACACAGGCCGATACACCGTGCTTTTTTTTATGTTTCATTTATTTTTTTTTCAAAACCGGTTCAGAGGGGTTGGTTTAAGTCCCAGCTACCCTCTGAACCATGGTCTGACCTGATACAACCCCTGTAGGGGCATATCGGGAAGCTCTCAGCACAATACGTATCGATACTTTGAACCTTGATTGCACTGACCCAAACTGATGCAGGTTGGTGGTTACTTCGATACTAATAGATGTGGGACTGAGTTTTTCGACTACCCTAAAACGACTCCAGGGGGGCAGGAAGGGTACAGAGATGATTATTTATTTTAAGGATAGATAAGAGGTTAAAAAGGTTCCTAGTCAAATCACTAAGGACAGCATATTCTACCTAGAATAGTTAAAAAACAGAAAACTCAATAACCAAGCATGATAATAAATTTTTTTAAGGAAATTTACGAAAAATATTTAGAACGGATTGTATGTAACGGTTGAATTTGTTTTGATTTTGTGCAAATTTCCCACAGAAAAGACAAAAAAAAATCCCTATTCCCTTCATAAGAAAACTACCGAAGTTCCATAAACCAAGGCTTTAAATGGAGTTTTGAGATGAAATTTGGTAGGAAGAAAGGTTGGYAAAAACTTACAGGGGACAACCTAATAGGAGGGCATTTGGGTTTGGCACAAAAGAAAAAGAACTACCAAAATGGAAAACTTCAAATTCTAACGCAAATTAAAGAAAAATTCATATGAGCTCCTCAAAAAATATTATATAAACTCCTTTAATAAAGAATCTGTGAGCTGGTGGACTGGTTGTAGTAGAAATAGTTGCTTGCAGAATTGAAGAGAAGATAGAGGGAGAAAGAAAAGAGGAAAGGTCATGTATCACTCAACAAGAGGCCTAGAATCACTTTAACATTTATCGAATTATCCACCATAAATATGTTATTATACATAAAAGTTCACTCAATCATCATTCATTGACCATGCTTTTGTGCTTGGGACAAATATAGACACTATAGGGGTGGTGGCCAAACCTACTACAAAACTAAAAAATAGAATTTACAAAATTGTCACTATCATAATTTAACGTGTCATTCAGTACCACTAATTGACCTCCAACCATGGAAATTTTTGCTTTCCGGGAGGGGGGGGGGGGTTTATTTAGTATGACCTCCGAAAATCCTCCAAAAGCAGCACTTGGATACAGCTAGACCTGTTCATGGGCCGGGTAGCCCGACGGCCCGGCCCACACCCTGGCCGGGCNTTGGTCATATAATTAGGCCCGCGGGCCTGACCTCGGGCTTAACACAGTAAGCCAGACTGTGTTTCGGGCCGGGCTCGGGATTTGTCAAAAAAGCCTGGCCCCAGCCCGGCCCGGCCCAACTCAGTATTATATATTTTATAAAATATATAATATGTATTTTATATATTATATTATTTATTAAAATATATATTTATAATTTAATATATATATATATTTTATTCTTTTCTTTATAATTTCAATCTATCTCTCTCTTTATTCAGCTGCTTCAACATTAATAATAATAATAATATAGGCTAAATTTCGGGCCCAGGCCCAGGCTCGGGCTTCGGGCTTTTTATGAGGGCCGGGCTCGGGCCCATATTGTAGGCCCGATGGTCGGGCCGGGCTCGGGCCTTAAAAAAATTTGTTAATACACAATAAAAGCCCGGCCCGGCCCATGAACAGGTCTAGATACAGCACACCTGACCGCATACAAAGGTTTTTAAACATTTTAGACACTAATGGCACTCGTGAATTGCAAAACCTTAACTGTATTTCCTCATACTTGAAGATTTGTTTAAGATAATAAAAACCGTTAACATTATTAATGAATTTATAGTCTATTAAATAATAATAAACAATAAATTACTTAAATAATAAATAATTATTTATTATAGACATTTATCAAAGGTTACAGCATTCAGATTACAAAACAGCTTCACTGCATTTAAAGATCCAGAAAGGCTAAAAAGCAATTTTTCACTACTCAGCTCAAAATTGTTCTCAGTAACGTTTTTTGCCTTCCAGAGATTGAAGTTTAGATTTACGAAACACTACCTAACTCAAGGAAAGATTCAATAACTCCTGAACTACTTAACCAATCATTATGAACTTTTAAATACAACTAAATTATGATAGAAAAAAAGAAACATTTAGGTTGGACTTCACAAACATGTAAATGACCAAAATGTTCCTGTTGTCTAAAACTAAATACAGAAAAAGCGTTAGTAGAAAATTCGAGTTCTGACTATTTAATTCCTGCAGCACTAGTCTAATTACTTTTTGCATTCTTAGTAAACTTTGAAAGATGAATAACAGATAAAGTATGTTCCCAAGTTTTTTAAGGGGTTTAATGGGATACGTTTGTTTTAAATTATGTCTAACAACATATTTTCAAAAGTGTCTTTTCAGAGAAGATCAAAATTATTGTTTCTTTCATAAGCTATTTTTGGTGACTACTTTTCAATGCAGAAGTTTCAATACCAAAAAAAAAAGGAAAAGAAAAAGCAGATACAGAACAAAATGCAATCTATTTTTTAAAAACAGACGAAGCAAAGATACTCTTATTTGTCTACACAAAAGCTTATTCCCATGCACTGATAGCTTTAGTGTGTTTTTGGGATATAATAATGCTAGGAGTTAATATGGAGAAAATCTACAGAAGTCCCTCACTTGGCACCAGAAGAGTAGCATAAGTTTTAACAGGAAAAGTTCAATCAAGACCACTGCATATGTTCAGTAATCAGCTTCTCTTTCGGTTAGCAAGATTCTAGTGGTGAAGGTACATCCGGGATCAGGTACAATGTGAACTTCATTGTCCCAACCCAAAAATGACGATAATATTTATATTTATGTGTGCGTATGTGCAGGGATGAGAAAGATGATTTTGATGACACAACTAGTTTCTTTATGTAAAATATTATTATGTGATGTCTATTTATTATGTCTGTGCGGGCAAATATGAATTCCCATAACAGCCCAAAACCTGATTTCTTGCATAGGTGAGGTTATGGTTGAATATGTTAAGTTGAAGATAGGGTTCAGACAGTTCAGTCAGTGTTAGAATTGAGGATACATGATTGGGCTAGATTTCACCTCAGCCCAACCCAACCTGGCCTGATTTGAGCTCCTTATTGGTGGAGATGATTCCCTCTTAATTTTGTTCCCAAGGCTTTGCATCCAGGCCTTACTTGCCGTATCTAATCTTGTAAGATCAGTGTAAGTCAAGTGTTGCCTAGGTGTCAGCTGGGTCATTGCCAAGGCAACCAAAAGGTCCGAAATAACTAGGTGGATGGTGCAGATACAAATATCTTATGAGGGACAAATAATTAATTGAATATTGTGATGGTGACAATGTTTTTTTACATTGGGATCAGAGTGTAGGTAACATTTTATGCTCTAAGAACTACGAAAACCAGTGGTGAATGTTGTGATAGTGACAATGTTTATTTACATTGGGATCAGGGTGTAGGTCACATTTTATGCTCTAAGAACTAACAGAACCAGCAAAAACACTGTAGCAAGCGAAGCTGTTCAAAATAAAAGATTTAGAACCAATGTATTATGTGAAGACTTTCGAAAACATCAATGATTGCTTGGAAACATAAGGAGAGATGGAATCAGATTGAGATGAATTTCTTGATGTCATCCCATTAGACAAAGTAGTTCAAATTAATAAAAGGATAGATATTGAGGTGGTGGTTGGAAGAGAAGTTCAAGAAGGGAAGGGTTTGGGTTTGTTCCTTTTCAGCAGTGAAGAGCAAGAAAAATATTTATGGTACTAGGATAAAGAGATACAATTAAATATTCCGAATCCACAGGTTAGGACTTAAATATGCAAGTTGTTTTAGGGGGAGGAATTGTCAGGAGGGAATAGACAGATCGTTTTTGAAGATTTTAGAAGAGGTATTTTGTTAGGGGTAGTGGCAGTTTTGTTTGGGGCATATGTCTTTTGTTAGGTGAGGATGGTTGCAATCCTTTCAGGTGTGAAAAGGTTACCTATGATGGGAAGATGGAGCATGTTTTTATGGAGCTGTTCTTGATAGTTAGGGTTGATAGGTGTGTCAGTGTCTTTTTCTCTCTTTGGTGATTTCTTATCACTTCCTGCAACTTCTTTTTATTTTAATATAAAAATTTCGTTTGCTATAAAAAAAAAATTAACTAATTACGCCCCTTCTATATATTATGTAGGTGTTACAACCCATTTTTGGTCCATGGGAGTGTATGCATATCTGAATATTAGAGATCATAATCTAATTCATTTATGTTTTCTTTTGGGAAACTTACAGACTACCACCCTGTACTTTGGAGGTAGTGACACTTAAACCCCCGAATGTTCATTTGCGACAAAGACCCACACTCAACTTTCAGATTCCAACACTTTACACCCGCTGTCATTTTGTCAGCTAACTTCAGAAAAGATTCTTATATGATTCTCACGTGCATGTTTAAACATCTCTAAAACCCCAAACTACCCTTATATCGTTTTATGAGACCATTTTGTAGAAAATTGATAAAATACAACAAGCAATTTCATATTTGAGAGGTAATGAAGCTTACCATTACAATCCAGAAATCAGCACCCAACTGATATGGAGAACAAAACTAGTATATATAAGAAACATCCCCTTCTTTATCCTTTTCTTCTGTCCTTCAAGTTCCAAATCGTGGTACTTGCTGCAGCAAAGGAGAGCTAGTTGACTGTGCTACCAAATGCTCTGAGCTTGGGGATGATCTTATTGTGTGGTTAACAACTGGATTGCCAATTGCTTGTCTGATCGTGTCTTTAGCACTATTTGCATTGGTTTGAGAATGAGATGATTCCATCAATGCGCGTATCTGATCCAATAATGTGTTTTAGTAATTCTCTAGTACCCAGATGCATGGAATGTAACATAAACACAATGAATATCATAACAAAAAGTAGGGAAAAAGAATAAGATTCCAAAACTACCATCCCAAGACGCCTATTGTGAAGATCGCCTGACAACTGCAAGTACATGATGTATCAAAATTAGATTCCTAAAAGTCAAAAGAGAAAGAACATTTGCATAAAATTAAATGCTAAAATATATTATCAAAGAGCACCTCCAAGAAAACATATCTGTGAAAATAAAGGCAATAAACTAAATACAACATAAAACACATACTATATCAGTAACTAAGAAAATGCACACAAATTATAAAAAAAGGTAGCAAATAATAAATGCTTTTGGCATCTCATGGAGAAACAATCCTGTTTGCATTGCACCTAATAGTTGGAAGTATTCCTACCAGGAGAGAGCATTTTGTTTTGGTTGCTTGGTGATTTTTGGACGTTGGACCACCATAAACCCAGGGGGATACTTTTTCCATATTGATTTTAAATGTACTTTAAGATTATGTATAACTTTCAACTTCTATCATTCATCATTAAATAAGCATCCATACCCCATTTTCTGAAGACCTTTCCTGTGCTGTTGCACTAGTTTATACCTAGAACCTGGATAAGTCTATACTACCAAGGAACCATCCTGCACGAAAAAATCAGGTTGGCCAGGGTGATGCAGGAAGGGTTTTGTGCAATTGGTTATCCTTTTACATGAAAATTGCTATATTTCATATTTTTTCTATTTTAGCTTTTTTGACAAAAGAATGTGCTTAACAAATTTAACAGGTTATGCACATAGCCACATGGACACAAAATCGAAAAGGCACAGTATCATCATCAGAAATCTTCTGGCATGTCCTTGGAAATCCACCAACTTCCTTCTTGCCTACTTTCTCTAGACACATTAGATGTGAAACCTTGACTGGAAGTCTAGCTAAGTAAAGCTAGATTCTGAGAAGATGAATGGTGGAGGGAGATCCCCTTCTCCTAAAAGTGTCCTAGACTCATTGATCATCTTCTTCCATGACCATCCWATTTCCTTTGTTTTTTGAGTTCTTCAAATATGGAATTCTGGGGTGACAAGAAAGATTGGCATATGCCAAATGTTAAGTTTCAATGTTCTTTTGGAACCTTAGAAGTTTTTTCCTTGCCAACGGAAGGCAGGGACAAACTTATTTGCACAACTATTTTTTTGTTTTTTCAATGTGTTTATTTGTAGTACTATTTCTTTCCCTATTAACAAAAAATAAATACTATTTCCTTCCCTCATAAGGAATTGTTGAATGCTTCTACTCTCCCAAAGATACGTACATACTGCTTAAAAGTAGCTCACCAGAAAATTTAGTTTCTAGAGCGGGGGTTTAGTAACTACACTGGGACCTGCCCTTCCTGTGTAGGCAGTGGCAATTTGGTTTCTATTTGGGGTGGGTGAGTTTAATGACTTAATTGTACAGCCTTCTGTACTTTCTGATCTCTTTTTCTTCCCTTGAATTATAATAAAGTTCTAATATTTTTCAATGCTTTTTTGGTTGGATAACAGGTTACAAGTGCCTTGCACCCAGCACCCCTTTGCATATTGTTAGCCTTGACTAACCACCCCTTAAATGCCTACACTAGTATTGTACCCCAATACAAGTTATTTATACATACACCAGATTTTGTCAAGCCATCCACTAGGAGGTTATCTTACCTTGGAGTGTGGCTGAAAATTAAAATCAATTTCTGAAAATAGTTTAGATTTTTTTTTGATAAGTAAGATAGTTTCGATATTTCCCTTAGCATGTTTCTATATTTTAATGATCCTGCTTCATTATAATTCACTTATTCAATTACAACCTTTGAATCTTCTTCAACTTGTAATCCCTTGTAGCTGAGTGACTTAGCCAGCTTGAGACAATACAGCATAACCCATAATTCTGCCCTGATTGTCTCTATTCCCTTTCAGACCTGAGTAAATTGTTTCCAGCTTGTGCAGAAGAAGAGTATCACACTGTGTTTTTATTTCCACATGCTTCCAACTTGTGCCTAGCTTATAGAAAGATGGTGAACCACCTTTTTCATCCACTAGAATTATGCATCTAAAATCTGCAAAACACTTTTAGCATTTCTGGTGTCCATTTCTTGACCTTTTTTTTATCAGTAATCCAGTTCTTAGTTCTTCAGGATGTGCAAAACTTCCTTCAAGGGTTTCTATTCCAACCAAAATACCCTCAGTGACAGGGATAAGGTTATGCAACAATGCCTTCTGCATGCAGGTTTTTTATGCATCTAGAAGAAAAGGAATACAAGAACATTTTAGAATAAGGTGAGAATATAGTCAGTTATTGATCTGGTCAATATTCTATTGGATTATAGTTGACTCATACAATAGTTGTCCAATATTGCAAGACTATCCTCACAAGGTACTGGCAGTCATCCCAGGGATCACCTAAGGACACCATATGTTAATTTTGATGAATATTCCCTAAACAACCCATACCTGTCAAGAAGATACGATATGTGCAGGTTTCCACACTATGTATATGACCAGAACATGGATATGTCAAGTGGAGTGTGGAGAGTGTACCATCACATTACAGAGGTGAAAGCATATATATACAGATGGTACAATCTTCTATAATATTCTTCAGTCTTCACATAGATACATGGAGCTAGGTCATTGCTCCTAATAGAGCCCCACTTCAGCAAACCATTCAGAATGTTTGTTTCAGTCTTCAAGGAGTGGAACATAGGATTCTTTTTGAAAGATGTAAACTTGCGGCTAGAAAAGGAGGGGAGCTTCTTCAAAAAAAACAGAGAATTGATGAGGTTGACTTGGGCCTTAACGACAAGGCAGGGAGCAGTGATGGGGTTCGAAAAGTCAAAAATAGTAGTTTAGAGAAGGAGTGGTTCTCTTTTTTCTCTCTTTATCTTAATGGAGTTAAAAATTTTATCTTGGAATGTTAGGGGATTAGGTTCAGGAAGAAGAAGGTTGGTGGTGTGCGGTACTCTTAGAAGATCGAAATCTCAAATTGTGTTTTTGCAAGAAACTAAGCTGGAAGCTATGGACCGGTGTAGTTAGGAGTATTTGGGGGGATGGTCAAGTTAAATGGAGGGCTAAATCAGCCACCAGCAGTGCTGGAGGTTTACTGACTCTGTGGAACCCTATGTTTTGTAAACTTATTTCCTTTAAAACTGGCCTCTTTTCATTATCAGTGATTCTGGAGTTTTCGGATGGGAATCAGTACCAGATAATTAATGTGTATGGCCCTTCAGTTGTAGGCTTACAGAGTCTTTTTGGAAGGAGTTGGTTGTTATGAGAGGCTCATTTTCTTGTCCGTGGATAATTTGGGGGTGATTTCAATGCCACCATATCCTCTGATGAAAGAAATTCTAGAAACAGAAGGACAAGGGAGATGAGTTTGTTTGCTGATTTCATAAACAATTTTGAGCTTATGGACACTCCTTTAGTAGGAGCTCAGTATACCTGGATAAATAACCACGAGATTCCTACCCTGGTAAGGCTGGACAGGCTTCTTATCTCCTCAAATTGGGAGGAGGTCTTTCCGGATTTTAAGCAGATTGCTCTTCCTAGGCCTGTTTCGGTTCACACCCCAATCAGCTAGTTTGTGGTGTCCGGGAAAAAACCAAGACACCTTTCAAGTTTGAAAATTCATGGTTTGAAGAATAAAGATTTATCTCTTTGCTGAAGTCAGTCTGGTGTGGGTGTCAAGTGGAGGGTACTAGCTCCCATATCCTTGCAAAGAAGATGGGAGCAATTAAAGAAAAGGTCAATATCTGGAATTTGGAAAACAAAATTGATCTAGAAACCAAAAAAAGAGCTTACCTGAATACCATTTCAGAAATTGACAGAGCTGAAGAGGTGGGTCCAATCTCAGAAGAATTGAGACAAAAAAGGGTTCAGGCAAAGACAAAATTTGACAAGTTGACAGTGAAGGAAGAAATTAAATGGAGACAGAGCTAAAGTAACTTGGGTAAGACTAGGAGACAGAAACTCACATTTCTTTCACAAAATGGCCAATGCTCGAGTCAGAACCTCTTCAATCAGCAAATTGGAATGGGAGGGAAGAGTTGGGAATTCAGTTGCTGAAATCAAAATGGCAGCCTCTTCTTTCTATAAGAATCTTTACAAGGAATCTTGGGACAGAAGACCTTTCCCTTTGGATTTAGTTTTCAACCAGTTAAGTGCAGAATAGAAACAGCTTCTGGAGAGGCCCTTTTCTGAAGAAGAAATTAAGGCAGCAATTTTTAGTTTGGATGGTGACAAATCCCCTGGGCCGGATGGATTATTTAACCTATTTTTCATCAAATGTCGGCATTTTGTTAAATCTGATTTGCTTAAGGTTTTTCAGGATTTTCATGATAATGCTTCTCTGCAAAGAAGTCTTGATACCACCTTTATAACTTTGATCCCAAAACTGGAAGGGGCCATAAACCTCAGAGATTTCAGACCCATTACCCTATTGAACAGATTCTATAAAATTCTAGCAAAAGTGTTGGCAGAAAGAATGAAGCAGGTGTTGAGTAGTATAATTTCAAACAACCAGTTTGCTTTTGTTCCGGGGAGGCAAATACTTGACTCTGTCCTTATAGATAATGAGCTCATTGACTCGAGATTAAGAGAGGGAACTCCGGGCCTTGTAGTTAAGCTGGACATAGAGAAAGCCTACAATCATGTTAATTGGAGGTGTCTGGATCGTGTGCATGAGAAAATGAATTTTGGTCAGAAGTGGAGGAATTGGATCAAAGTTTGTGTTTCCTCACCCAAATTCTGTCTTGATAAATGGCTCTGCGGGGTATTTTGAAAGTTATAGGGGTCTTAGACAGGGTGACCCTCTATCACCCTTGCTCTTCATTTGTCTAATGGAACTTCTGTCCCAATTCTCCCTTAAGGCTGCGGCTAGTGGGCTTTGGGATGGTTTTGCTATCGCCCCAGAAGCAGAAAAGATCAACATTTTGCAATTTGCAAATGATACCCTCTGTTTCCTAGATGCCTCAACTGATCAATTGGAGCTCCTACTTGGTGTACTGTGCTGGTTTGAAGTGGTTTCAGGTCTAAAAGTTAACCTTCATGAAAGCAAAATCATTCTGGTGGGTCCTGTTCCAAACTTGGAAGATTG